CCACAGTGATTATACAGAAATACAGGAGAAAAGAACAGTTCTCTGTCTCTTGTCACTGCCACTCCCTTCCAGTAATTGTTTCCTTATTACAAAAAGCCATTGTGGTGTTTTGTACATATGCATTTACACTGTGTGATAAATGAGATGCACTAATGCCTTTCTGAGTGCTCTGTTACTTTTTTTGTTTATTTTTCCTGTTCCTTTTATTTGTATACAAGAAACAAATTTGTGAGTTTTTCCAGATGTTCTCCAGTTTCATTACTAGCACTTTCTATATATTTTTTCTTTTACATCTTGACAACATTGCTCTTAAAAAATGTTATTTCTCACATTAAAAGTTTACCATTCATGTACATATTTCATTTGCACAAACTCACACACACACAAGAGTGTGTGGTTGTGGTACTTACTCGTACACAGGGAGGGCACATCCAAGCATGAGGAACATGAGGCCGATGGCTCCTCCAAAGGACAAGCTGATGAGAGCTGGAGGACAGACCCAGAAACAGAGGAGGGCGATCATTATTGGTGAAACCAGATAGCTTCAGATCTGATGGTTCTTTGTTCCCAAGGTTGTTTCAATTCTTAATTCATCAAATGAAGTTTGAGATCAGTTTGAAAAGACATTGTACGTGGCATAGTAAAAAAAAGTAACTAAAACAAAGGTTTCAAAATTTCTTAGTTTTGTTTTTTAAATGGACATTTTTCTTTAAGATAAAAAGCATCTTTATTGTGGGATATATTTCCCTGCAAAAGATGACAAAACAAATGATACAGGAAACTTTGATGGCTCTTAGTTTTAAACTCTATATATAAAAAGATGAAAATCTGATCACACAAACTTTCACTTTCTCTTTCACAAACCTGAAACCTAATGTTCTAAGAACTACGAAATTTAACTTGTGTTTGATAAGTTCTTTATGCCAGATATCCCAATATTAGCATTTTAACAGCTTATCACAAAGCATCAATATGCCTTGTTGCTTAAGAATAACCTGCTAATAGTGTTTAAGCCTGTGTCCCCCACAGAAGATCATCCAGAGCAGCAGCATCAGGGCCCCCGGCTACTGTGGCCACCATGTGATGAATCAGCTGATTTCGCGTGTCATAAGAGCATCGTTTTCGGCATAAATTCAATATCTTTATATTCCACATTTAATAGGAAAAAAGAATACAAATTTGGGTTTGTGTGTTTTAGATCGCCTTGCATCAAGCACAGCATCTCAATCAGCGACTGTGGTTAAGGTGCAGCGAACGTTAGCATTCTATTGGGTAATACTACGTTATTACGCAGATACCAAGAACGACATTAGAGAATGCGGAGTAATTCAACGTAAACTGACAGATAACTTATGTTTACATGTGTGCCCTTAGAGATATTGTGGATGGTGATCGCAATGCTGGTTTATTCAGCTCGCTAATGCTAATGAATTGTATTGGGCCAATAGCTAACTCGTACTGTTAGTAGACGACTAACACCATCAATTTATATATACGCCATAATAACGTAGTTATTGCCGAAAATAATGTTGATTGTTTAATAAGGTTATTTTCTGAAGAATATAAAATAAGAATAGCTAACCTTTAATCCCGGCCATTTCTCCTGGACAAAAGCCCGACAAACAGCGGTGCGTGGTGGATGACAACAGTGCCCCCTCCCTCCCACCTCGGCTCCGAGTCCGAGACGACCGACTACCCTGATGCATTCACGTGCTGCAGCGAGGAGCGGAATTATAATATCTTTATTTTTAAAAAATGGTAAAATTGCCAAACAACATGAAAACAGAGAACACGTGAATATTGTAGTTCAGCCTTTCTCTTCCCCCATTAGATATTCAGGTTACCTCGTTTATTATCTGTTCCTCTACTTATTCAAATGTTACTTAATATTATCTTACCCAATGTTTGCCTTTATGTTGATTCCTTTTATCTTTTTATTTCAAATCTGTCAGGAAGTTGTTTGTAGTTCAATTATAGATGTGTTCCTTTGTTTTTGTGTTGGTGACCGGAAACAGTAATTTAGTAAAAGCTAACGTTTTTATGTCATTGTTAATTGATGAATAATGATATAATTGTGGTAGCGTTCATAGAGAAAACCTGTAAAAGTAGATCTGAAAGGTTTAGTATCATCAGTGGGTGAAGTTCACCTTCATCCGTTTAAACAGCCTTGATTGCATCATTTAATTATTATTATTTGTCATTGTGACACAGCACATCACTGCACAGACAACGGAATGTAACTTGTTAGCTGGTGGACTCGAACCTGAAGCCTTCCGGACCCAGGTCCGCTTCCTTCCCCACTAAAGCTTATTTTAAAGATAACAACTCTTCAAAGTATCATCTTAGGATATATAACAAATGGACAAATTACAATAATACTTTTTTTACGCTGTTGAATGGCAAGTACATTAGAAATATTACATTTTGAAAATTGTAAAATGAAAAAACCTTTGTTTTAGTATATGTCGCTGACCCGGATGTAATGATTTTCTACTTCCTCCGGTTCCTGTGCCCATTCGGCAAAGATGGCGAGCGGAGGGGTGTCCGTGGCTTCGCTGTGGACTGAAGTGAACCGCAGTGGGCAGAATGGAGACTACACAAGAGCCCTTAAAGCGCTGACAAAAAGTAGGGAACCCTACGTTTCACATTTCCCCTAAACCACCACACACATGCCGTCATTAGATAGATAGACAATGTCCTTTTTCCGGCATCAGTCTGCAGGCGTCACAGGGCCAGCTGTTAGCATGGGGTTAGCGGCATTTCGACAGCTAAATGCCATATTTTTCAAGTATAGCTCAGATCTGTTCGTGAAACTTCTCCATTTATTATCACGTACAAAACGAAAGAAAAGCTATCAATTAGGTTGATTGCAAGAGTTCTTAGGTAATCCTTCTTTTTTTCCTTCAGAACTGTGTCGTCCTCTGAACACTGACGTGTCCCTAGCATGACAGCTAACTTCTCATGCTTGGCAGCTGACGGCTTTTATTTAGCAGTAGAACCTCTATGTATGTGTTTTCTCTGTCATTTTCTTTTTTACTCTGGTTTTTATTCAGTTTTAACATTTACAACAGACCAGCAAGGGACATCAAAAACAAAGAGATATAATAATAATAATATAATAAAATAGTAATACTAATTGTCCTGTTGGGAGCTTCTCTGTCATTTTTTTAAATGAGTCAGTCAATTGTTTTGTTCTTTAGGGGACACTATTAAACATGAGTGGCGGGACGAAAGATAGTCTTGTGAATGTAGATTTACATTGAATATAATTTGATTTACGATATAATTTGATTTACGATTGCATAATGTTAAGTGTACCATATCAGTTCAGGAGTAAACTTTAAACAGCTGTCTACATAAACCTGTCAAATAATCTTTAAAGACGTATTATGTTACAACAAGTGTGATTAGGGTATATATTTTAACTTCCAAATGTGTTGTTTTAATTTAATTTGGGTGTTTATTCACTTTGTTGTTTCTGCTATCAACTGTTTTGTGTTTTCTGTCCTGGTTACAGTTTTGCATGAAAACAGGGAGGATGTCACAGCCCTTCATTGTAAAATAGTTTGCCTTATTCAGAATGGCAGCTTTAAGGAAGCTCTGAATGTAATGAACACCCAAACAAAAGTGCTTGGCAGGTAAGCAACAATGTGTCCTTCCATTCTTCTGTTTGCTGAATGTGCTGTTGTATGGTAATAACAATGGTCAATGTTGACGTTTAATATTAAATAATTTACTGACTGACGTCATATCTCTATGCTGCTTTTGTGTTCTTGCATTTCAACAATCGACACATCCTGTATATATTAAGTGATTTTTGATGTGTGCTCAAAAGTCACTTAAAAATGTAGTTTTTTTTCTCACTCAAAACTGTTTTATAAGCATTGTGGCCTGTTTTGTGGTGATAAGATACCATTGTGATCAATGTTGTTTTAATCTTCCATCAGTGAGGTTGTGTTTGAGAAGGCATACTGTGAGTACCGACTGAACAGAGTGGAAAGTGCCCTGAAGACCATTGAAAGTGCAACTGAGCAAACAGACAAGCTGAAGGAGCTTTACGGTCAAGTGGTAAAGATCTTTGATCAGTAGCCTAAATAAATCTTTCCTCTCTCCTCTTCCAGTATGTTTCATTTGCTAACATGGTTTGTCTTTGCATGCTTATTTCCCAGTTGTACAGATTGGAGCGTTACAATGAATGCAAAGCTGTCTACACAGATCTGATCAGGAACTCTCAGGATGAATACGAGGAGGAGAGAAAAACCAACCTGGCTGCTGTGTTGGCTGCGATGAGTCAGTGGGAAAAGGCTTCCAAGGTAACGACTTTAATTGATAAGATTATCTTTCCTGGCCCAACGTCTTTGTCTTAAATCCACTTCCTGCAACAAGAACAAAGATAATGGTCTTCAATCCCGTTAATTTATGGTTGTTTTTTCTTTTGTTTGCAGGAAGATCTTGGTCTTCCAGAGTTGACATATGAGCTTTGTTACAATGCTGCCTGTGCTCTGATTGGCCAAGGGCAACTGACAGAGGCTTATAATAAACTACAGAAAGCAGAAGGTATGTTCTTGATGTTTGCAGTTGTAATTCATTTCAGGGATAATATATGTTTTGGAATTAACATGTTTGTTTGTTTGTTTTTAGAGCTTTGCAGATTGTCACTGGCAGATGATTCGGTAAGTAATCGTCTTTTGAGAAACCTAACCATCCACTAAATAGAGTTCTGTGTTTTGGTTAATATATTTCAGTGAAGTCACTAGTTTGAAAGGGAGTTATATGCTGTAGACCCGTTAAGACGTAGGTGAGACTTGAAAAGGTATTAGAAAAGAAGACAGTCATCAATTTATATGTTCCAATAATTTTGTAGTCAAATAAGGATGCATTGTTGTTACACATTTGTTTTATGCAGGATGTAACTGAGGAGGACATTGAGTCAGAGTTGGCCATCATCCACTCTCAGATGGCCTACGTCATGCAGTTGCAAGGTCGGACAGATGAGGCACTGCAGCTCTACAATCAGGTCATTAAACTTAAGTAAGTCTGGGGTTTGCAGCTCTACAGTCATAAGTCTTTACTTAAAGTTTTTTTTATATAATAATAATGATTGTGGTATAAACCTCCAGGCCGTCAGATGTGGGACTTCTCGCTGTAACTGCGAACAACATAATCACAATAAATAAGGTGAGTGACAAACTCACCCTCTACTTCTACTATGCGTTGCAGTCTATCAAGAAACTTAGTAATCTATAAAATCTACGTTATGTTCTTCCTCCATCATTCCAGGACCAAAATGTGTTTGACTCAAAGAAGAAAGTGAAACTCACGAATGCTGAAGGTGTTGAATACAAGCTGGCCAAGAAGCAGCTGCAGGCCATTGATTTCAACAAAGCTCTTCTGTCCATGTACACAAACCAGGTACCGTCAAAAACTTTAATTGTTGTAACCCAATCGAAAAGGGTAAAACTTGAGTTGGATTTTTTTCATGATCTATTTTTATATTGCTGCTTTGTTTTGAACAGGCAGACCAGTGCAGGAAACTCTCTTCCAGTCTTCAGACTCAGAACCCAGGTCATCCACGACCGGTCCTCATCCAGGTTGCTCAGCTTTGCAGGGAAAAGCAGCATAGCAGAGCCATTGAGCTGCTTCAGGTAGGAAGATGTCTTAAGTTAATGACTCTATCATTAACTAACAACTAAAATCCAACATCACTGAAAATAAAAAAAAGTGACACTTGTTGTTTTTTCCTGTTCTCCAGCAATTCTCAGATCAGCATCCAGAGAGTGCCTCTGGTATCAAACTGACAATGGCACAGCTCTATTTAATACAAGGTACTGACCAGTACTTACTGTGCTGTGAATTTTAAAAGACTGAAAATACACTCAAAACAAGTACAAATGAATGTTATATAGTCAAAGTTGGCATTGTGTAATCTAAAGTCTAATTTTCTATAATATCTGTTTATATTCATACAGTGTATAATTGAAATGGCTTCATGTTGACTTTCAGGTCACGTAACAAAGGCCTGTGATGTTCTGAGGTCCATTAAAGAATTCAAGCACAAACCAGGGATGGTAAGTCTGAAAACTTTCAAACTAGACATTCACAATTTGGTTTTTATGGTTGGTTTGTGGTCATCTGCAAGCTGCATTAATATTTTCTACAAATAAATCACTGAAATATGTATGACAGTAACATTTTTAATCTGTAATAATAATCATTAGAAGCAGAAAAGTCTCAGTTCTTTGTGACGTCTAACAATGTGTATTTGTCTCCTCAGGTTTCAGCTCTGGTAACAATGTACTCCCATGAGGAGGACATTGACGGGGCCATTGAAGTTTTCAAACAAGCTATTGAACACTATCATTCTGAACAGGTATGTGTTAAAATGCCTGACCCTGTAGTCTTACATTAAGGAATTAAAACGGTGATGTTTATGTTTCAAAGCTGTTTCTAAATGTCTTGAGCATTTCTTCAGACTGGCTCTGAGTGATTTTTTTTCCAGTGCATAAGCCAGCACGTGTTACTTCAGAAACCCCAGAACACATTTAACTATTTAATGTTTCTTCACACAGCCAGGATCTGCTGCACACTTGGCTCTTGTACGAGAAGCTGCCAATTTCAAACTGAAGTACGGACGGAAGAAAGAAGCCATCAGTGATTTGGAGCAGCTGTGGAAGTGAGTCACACTCTTAGAAAACAGGTCCAACGTGTGTAATTCACAACACAAATCCTAACTGTTATGTTTTTTATTAAACAGGCAAAACAAAAAAGATGTTCACACACTGGCACAACTCATCTCAGCCTATTCTCTCGTGGACACAGATAAAGCAAAATCGTATCCTTTTCATAACTATAAAAATAACCCTTTGCCAATCTTTGCAAATATTGGTTTTTCAGTCTATGGCCATGATCAACTGAGTATTTGGTAGAATTTATCTGTCCTGCTAACAAAGTGATTTTCCTGTCAACATGAGTATATGTCAAACTGGTTCCTTTATTTTGGAACTTAATTATAAAAAGTTGTTTCAGGTCAAATACCAGTGCCAAAATAGTTCCTTGACATTCTTCCTCAGCCTCAGCAAACACCTACCTTCAGCCGACACTATGTCTTTCAATGTGGACGTAGACGAGCTTGAAAACTCGCATGGAGCCACGTACGTCAGGAAAAAAGCTGCCAAAGTCACAGGAGAAATTCTCCCTAAAGAACAAGGGTAACGCTCCCACTATTATCTGTGTTATGTTTTATATCGTATACTATGGTCATTTTTAATTATGTATGATTTCTTTCCAGTGAGGGTGATGTCAGGAAGAAGAGGAAGAAAAAGAAAGGTATGTCATTACAATGTCTGAGCTAGGGATTCAATACATCATTTCCTCATTTGTAAAAAGAATGTGCAAAATATAATAGCAAAAAATTTAAAATACATTCATCTGGATTTAAACTAAGCTTTCCAGTTTTTACTACTTTAACAAAGGGGTTACATTTTTGTATAATACATGAGATCTGTCATCAGTGATGCCTCTATCTTTACCGTAGGCAAATTACCCAAGAACTACGACCCCAAATCAACCCCTGACCCGGAGAGGTGGCTGCCCATGAGGGAACGTTCCTATTACAGAGGCAAAAAGAAAGGAAAGAAGAAGGAGCAGATTGGAAAAGGCACGCAGGGAGCGATGGCAGGAGCCTCAGCCGAGCTGTGAGTGAACTCCGCAGTCCCACACGTGCACGTCATCTGTTGGTCCCAGCTGTACGGCTGCAGTTTCCTGTAATTGAAAGTTGGTCATCAACCCTCGTAACAGAGGGAAAAACACCTCAGGTTGTCCTTTTTTCTGCTCCACTGCCAGTGAAAACTCTGGAGAAGCAGTGTTGATTCAGCCATAATGTGAAACTTTTCAGTCTCAACCAAAGTAGGGGTTTTACACTAGCTGGTACTCTGGTAGCTCGAGTCTCTTTTCCAGTTTTTCTTTTATCTTTTAAAAGGCTGTCAAATTAGAGTTAGTGGATTTAGTTTGATAGTTTGACTGTGATTCTCTTCGTTTCAGGGATGCCAGTAAAACAGCGAGTAGTCCCCCCACCTCCCCCAGACCAGGCTCTGCAACTGGATCATCGGCAACTGTCGGCAGCAACGTGGCCCCACCGCGGCAGCAGAAACCGGCGTCGTCTGGGGCAAGTCGCAAAAAGGCACCACAGAAGAAGAAAAAGAGTGGAAAAGGAGGCTGGTAGTCACCAGGAAACAACATGTGAATCAGAGGGGCTGCAATAATGTCACCAACGGATCATAAACTCTTTGTTTGAATTTTTATTTCATTTTGGAGTCACATTCAGATTTAGTCAAAAAAAAATTTACCCATATTTTTCAAGGACACTTTCACCGTACATTTTGTTACTCTTTAGAAGCTGATGTTTTTTTGAGTGCTACAGTTTCAATTTGTTCTGAACGGAGAACTTTAAACTGAAAGCAAAGGAAGAAATACAGAGAAACGGAGAGATGTTTTTTAGACATAATGCAGGTTTTGCCATAAAGGATCATCTGAGTCATTCAGGACTGATGGCTGTCAGACCATTTTACTGCTGAAGAGTTTCAGAGAGGCTGGAGGAAAAGACCACAACAGCGTTCTACCCTCTCCCGTACATCTATCATCTAAAATTCTTCTCCTTTGAGAGTTGCAGGAGGGTGGGAGCCAGTCCCAGTTGACAAAGGGACAAAGGCAGGACAAGTCCTCAGCCTTTCTGGTCACATTGATGTTTCCAGTAACATTATTCTTGTTTGTATGTCGTTGGACTTTTGGAAGAAACTGTATTATGTTTGACAAAAGAAAACTCACCGTAATCATTTATATAATGTAAAGAATAAGGAAACATTTTCTCTTTGAGGCACCACAGTGGTTTGTTGCTGTCCCTGAGGGTACAGAGGTCAGATGTTTCCTCTACATATTAATGCAAGTTCTTCATCTCTGCAGAGAGCTGAACTTCATCATCTTCATCAGGCTAGTGATCCACATGCTCAGTTCTTCAGTCATCGTCAGTCTTCAAGTCTTCTTCGCCAGCTGCTGCGTCTACTTTAACCTTTAACCTTTGTTGGCCTCACTGCTAGATCACCTTTCTCGTCTTTCTCTGTAGTTCTTAATCATTATAATCTACGTGTTTAAAATGGCTTATTTTTATACCAATCATGATCTTCCCCCCCTTTAAAACACTTTATTTTACAATGGCTTCTCATTTGTGTACAGTGTACAGCACACACAGAGCCACAGTCAAAAACCGGTACAGTTCAGGTTGAATATCAAGTAAATAAGCAGTCATTAAACTGACAAACATTTTAAAGAAAACTTGTTTTTTAATTGTTTTATTTTTAATTCACTGTTACTTTTGGATGATTTGCCCCCTCTTTGTGCCCACCATCATCTCGATAGGGAGAAAAAAATTAATTCTTCCTCTACAAGTTAGTGAACTGATCACCAAACTCTGGAAAGTAATTGCAGTGATGATTGATCTTATTTTGTTTGTTTGTTTTAAGCCCCCTGTACCAAATACAAGCATAAGAGAATTTAAATTGAGTTCCTTCAGTGGGTTGATGCATGTGTAAGGCGGGGAATAAAGACTATTTTGGCCAAACTGATATTTAATTTTGTTAAGACTTAAATAAAACTCTTAACAACAATGACTCAAGTTTAAGTAGTTAATAGTTAATGTGCCATACTCTTTAATATCATTCCAAAAGTTTTGGAGCAACCTCGAATAAAGTTTCCTTCTATAATGACTTATTTTTAGGGAGTGTCAAATTAATTTCAACCATTATCAATACAGTTACCCTTGAATGGCCTATGGTAACTGGATGACTAAGTATTCCATAACTTACTAATTAATGTTTTTGCAAATATATGTGAACTCTGGTGGTATTCTATATAAAGAATTTCAAGAAAAAGGTTTTTATAGAGAGATGGAGGTGAATAAATAATGTATCAAATATCAAACTAAAAAAAATGAATATTTGTGCTGGGATTTTTTAAAAGACTCATTTCCTACTCTAAGGAACAACTTCAAGCTGATTGGGTAAAATTAGACCCACCTGGCTGTGATGACTTTGCTCCTCCTGTAATGAGCCCTGCTCAGATCTGAGCTTGAAGCTGCTCCTTGGTGGAAAGGATGCCTCGTCTCCCTCCGTCATTCTCTGAGTTCTACTACGAGCCCCTGACAGATGATGTGGAGGAACTCCTGGCTCTGTTCCAGCACACTGAAACTGTCAGATATGAGCTCTTTTCATCCATTTGGCGAGAAATGAGGTTCTCAGATGTCTTCATTGGTCTAACAAACATGGCAGAGATGAAGAGGTTCTCCGTGGTGGCACTGGGCACAGCCATGAAGTACTTCCTGCCTCCTTACAGCTATCAAATTAGAGTTGGAGGCCTGTATCTGTTGTTTGCTTTTTACAACACCCAAAACACAATACCACCTGTGAAGATTCGACTCGCGCTTAAGGACTGGGAGAAAGTTCAGAAGTTCTTGAAAGATTCTGTTGATGCTGGACACCTTGATGTGATTTACATCTATCACAAACTTGTTTCTATCAAGGCCTTTCAATATGTTGCTATGCCACATAATCTAACTTTTCAAAAGCAGAAGAAACTTAAGAAAGAGCGAGTGTGTGCAGAGTTTTTGGGGAGGACCTCTGCAGTGCTAGAGTTTTTCTCTTTAGATATCATGGAAGAACTCATCAATATCAAGGACCAGTATGAGAATCTGAAGAAGGCCACAGCTGAGGTGAGCGGTCAGGTCACCATGACCAACCCAAACTTTGCCTCCCACCTGAAAGACTGTGAGTCAGAGTTCATCACATGGCAGCAGAAGACTTTTGCAAAAAACTGGAATGATGAGAAGTTAGAAGAAGATGATGAGAAGTCAGGGGATGACGATGCAAGCAGCAGCAGCTCCAGGGCCAGGCTCCTGTCCTCCATTAAGAACAAGAGCTACAACAACTACCAACAGGCATCTAAGTCCAGGAGGCACCGCAAGGCAACAACGGTGGACGTGTCCACCTCACAAGTGAATGATGTTCAAGAGCGAGTTGTCCAGAGAAAAAGGCCTCCGTCGCTACGAGCCCGCACCACAAAGAGTCTGGGGGAGGCGCAGGAGGAAAACAAGCTGCAGGCCTGGCTGCTGACTGCCCCTGAGGGGCAGGAGCGGGTCCCATTCAAAAGGTCCCAGCAGCCTCCACCGTACAGAGAGCGATGAGATGGGAGCAAAGGTGACCTGCAGTTTCTCTTAATTCAATTTTAATTGGTAGAGTTGGATTTGGGCTTGTTTTTTGTGTGCTCAGTTACACAATTAATAGTATTTACCTCAAAATGTGTACTTTATAAATAAATAATAAAGAATTATTAGGATGTTACATATGTCTCCCATATTTTCTATCTGGAAAACTCTGCCCAAATTATTGTGAATAAATTGTTGTTTCAAAATATTGGGGAAAAATAGGTTTAAACAAAATTTGTGTAGGTCAGATGGAAAATAAGAAACTGCATCATTTGTGTTGATAGTTAATTTGATTCTTACCATTACTTTCACAAATAACTTGCCATTACAGGGCAAAAAAAACCTGTTGGAGGTCACAAATAACTTGCCATTACAGGGCAAAAAAAACCTGTTGGAGGATTTCATTTATTATTATTATTATTATTATTATTACATCATATCTATAAATGCATTAAAGAAATTCTATCACACCGAGCTAAGCAGTATGCATCTAAGTGTCGTCCCCTGTTGGTTACACTTCTGCACTGCAATAACAAAAAGGCGCTCGGTGGATCCCGGAAGTATCGTTGGCTAAAGTTACTCATCAACTTCCTGTGAGCCTTTTAATCCACTTGTTGAGGAGCGCTAAAGCACAAAGGCCTTTCGACTGGAGTAAACATCATAGGAACATGATGCTAGCGTCTCCACAGAAGTGAAGCCTACCCGTGAGCACAATGGGCAGTTTAAAAGAAGTAGGTATAATCGGTGCCACCGTCGCTCTTGCAGGTGGGGTTGCGTATCTTATCTGGAACTACGCGTTCACCGATGAGGATACGACTTCAAAATCGAGGGAGCCCGAAGAGATCGGCACCAGACCCAGATTAAGGGAGGAGGGCAAGGACGGAAATTGGACATATGCTAAGTCAACAAGCAAACAAAGTTCAGCTAAAGCTCCACCACCTGTTAACGCGAGCGAAGCTTCAACATTTACAAAGGTAAAATGTGTTTTTTTAATGGACTGAGCTTCTCAGAGACCCGTATGTGCAAAGAATGTGTCAGAGTTAATACTTCACTAGGGTTTAGCCACAGACAGGGATCCTCATACAGTAGCTAGGGCTGTGGTTACTGTTAATTCATCAATCTACTTGGACTTAGTAGCTAGAAAATATTCTATAGTTAATAAACAACAATGGTGGCAAATATTGTATGGTTGTAAAGAGTGTAATAGATTTACAAATTAAAACTCTTGTATTTATTATATTTAGAAAACAGTTGTCAAACCTGCTAACGTTCTGTGTATTTTTACCAGTACGGTAGCAGTCTGACACAAGAGGACTGGGAAAGGGAAACGGAGAACGTGGAGAGGAGGAGAACGAAGGAGGTGACAACCAGAGAAACTGTAGTTTCTGTTGCTGCTGTGCAGTCGTTTTCTGCTCCCAGAGCATCAGCATCTTTAGATGTATGTTTGTCTTTTCAAAATTCACAAAGTTAAACAACACAGACCATAGTCTAGCCCTGATCTGATGTGTGATGTTTGTGCTGCAGACCAAAAAAACACAAGTTCTCGTTCTGGGTTTGGATGGAGCTGGTAAAACCAGTGTGCTACAATGCTGGGCTACAGGCAATGTGGAGGAGGAGGTGGAGCCGACAAATGGCTTCAACGCTGTGTCTATCAACAAAGAGGAGCTGCACATCGAGTTCCTGGAAAGTGAGTGTAATTTCTGTGACAGGAATAACAAAAGCAAATAGAGTTTGTTGACAGTGGTCTGATGGTTGTTTTCTGCCAGTTGGAGGTAATGAGAAGCTGCGACAATACTGGCACAAATACATGTCCAAGGCTCTGCTGCTCGTCTTCGTGGTGGACTCCTCCGACCCTGACCTCTTCCCAGTTGCTAAGGAACATTTGCACGAGCTGCTCTCCACTGATTCCACTCTGCCTTTAATGGTGCTCGCCAACAAACAGGTGAGTGTGACAGACCACTCAGTACTGATGTAGACAGAAGAGCAAGGCTCTCCGTCTCGTACATCAGGCTTACAATTAAAAATTGATGAGGTATCGGAGAATATCACTACAGATTACAGATGGTCTTTCTCCAACCTACGCTACCACTTAAGTGTCTGTTATACAAGTATTAAAATGCTGGCAGAATTTGACCTCGGCCTCTTTCAGTGTCGTCAGATTTTTACTGTATGTCATCACATTTAAAGGAACTAGTTGGTGGAAATAACAGCAATGTGAATGTGGCCATAGAAATGCCGCACTTCTGCCCCTCGAGGTCCACACTTGTACCACAGCTGAAACAAGACATGCAGTGTGAACAAAGGCTAGGTCTACGTCATGATTCGGTCTCATGACAATTAAGTAACAAACACCATATGTCAAAGTGGTGATTTATGATTTGTTTGGTGATTTGATTTTTAAATAGGGAAGTGATCAGAAAATAAATTTGGCATCATGTGTGATGCACACATGATGTGTGTGATAATTGTGTGATGATTTTCTTTGATGTGATGCACACATGATGTGTGTGATAACGTGATGATTTTCTTTGTTTTAAAAACACAAACACAAACATCTATATCTTGTTTGCATTCCTATACGTCTTTAAGTAAAAGATATTTCTTATCCAGCGACACGTGAGCAGGTGGTGCTGTTTCCCAGGATCACTACTTACAAACAAAACTCCTTCCATGAAATGATGGTCCTCAGTTGCGGTAGCCTTTCGTTGCTGACATATGACGTTCCATTATTCTATTCCCTTGATTTCCAGGATCTCCCAGATTCCTGCAGCATCACTGATCTCCACGATGCTCTGGCTCTGTCTGAAATCGGAGACCGAAAAATGTTCTTAATCGGCATCCACACAAGAAAAGGAGAGTTGGGCTCGGGTATACGCAGCGCTTGGAATATGATTGAAAAGATGGTTTGTGACGGCAGTTAAACTTTTAGTCCCGTTTAGTCAGCGCTCGCCTCATTATTTGTTTGCACTGCTTCACCTTATGGTTTTTGTTGCTCTAGGTCAGGGGTGTCAAACTCATTTTTACCGGGGGCCACATCAGCAATACCGTTCCCCTTAAAGGGCTGGTTTTAAATGGAAGACTGTATAGATCAGGGGTCCCCAACCCCTGGTCCGAAGACCAGTACCCGTCACTAGGGCATTTGGTACTAGGCCGCAGTGGGACACAGTGGAAAAAATGTGCTTAATTTTTTACTAATTTACTTCATTCAAAGAACATTTTGAAAATCCACCATATCTGTTTACTTTCTTTATTTAAAGATATTCTGACACATATTTTAAAATAAGTCATTCAGAGTCTAAAAACTTTATTACATTATTTTGAAAATGCACCGCGGTTCCTAGTAACGGGTGGTACTGGCTGACCAGTCCTCGGAACCAAAAAGGTTAGAGACCGCTAGTATAGGTGTAACTACTCCATAACAGACTAAGACATGCTTATTATTTATTAAAGCTACACACATATTGTTCGTTGCTGTGTAATAATTTTTTTTTATTTCATAGGTTAAGAAACTCTGCTGCATGGACTTTACTAAATACTTCTTAAGTTAACCACACAACATGGCTTGGCCACGTTTGGCCCCCGGGCTTTGAGTTTGACTCGTATGCTATAGATTATTCCCAAATTGTCTTTCGTGTAGAAAACTTTTTTTTTCTTTTGCTTTGCGA